TCGAGAAATGACAAATCGCATACAAAGAGCTCAGTCCTGCTCAAAATCACTGCATGTTAAGCTTCTTGCAACCATTGGTGAGTGTGCTCCTCTTGGCTATAAATGTTCATTGGTAATATGGTAATTTTGTCGTCTTCTAATGCATCTCTTTTAAGTCTGAGATATTCAATTCAATTCAAATTCATGAAAGTCCTATAAGAAGGAGAGTAAAGGAGAACTTGTCACCTCGACTAAGAGAGCGAGAGCCACTCATGAGGAGGAACTGGTGCATTAGACATACATCCTCCCGTTTTTGATAGATCACTTTTATTCGTCACTGGTATGATGCAGCCATTTGAGCTTAGTAGGAATGGTTAGGATGATGGCTAAGAGTGGTAAACTTTTTCGGTTTGACTGCAGAGGTAAGTGGGTATAAATTGCGAGGCTGTTATCCATCATCAGGTGCTTGGAACACTGTAAAATACGCTTAAATTTGGGCTCTTAAAGGAGGACCTATCGCTTTGACGGATGATGTGCACGTGGATAAATTCATGAAGGTATACTTTTTCCACAGAAACTCAATCTATTTGGAATGAATGTCATACCTTATGAGATCAACCAACTGATTATATCAAGAGCATGCACGAGTGTGTACACCCGTATGCGTTCAATACGCTAACCAACTCTGAAACGATGCAATAAAGTGACTCTTCTTAATTAACTGCTTTATTCCAGGGAGAACCATGGTCATGTGGACGACCATAGTACATAGAGTGATCAATTCTAGCTCAGTACATGGAGCCGTGCGATTGGTAGGATTTTACTCAGCATGAGCCATGAGCATCGGGCTGCTCAGTTACAGGCGTATTCACAGCAGAGCCTGGATTGTGCGTCAATCCTTTCGTGTGTGCAATGGCTAGCAACCGTTAAAAGCATAAAACAGTGTCATCTTCTGGTCGGAGAGAGCCTTCTAGCATTTAATGCACATGATGAAAATATCCTGGGTCAAATGCTTTATTTAATATACAGGGTTGTCTGATCATTAAGGCCATCACTATAGGTTACACACGTACGCACTTGTGTATTCCACGAAGACATGACAACAGGTCCAGCTATTAATATTGATCTAGGGTTACCGCAGAACTGCTTTATGTGGCCTCCATGGATAAAGTCGCATCATCATTGATGCCTCAGGGAACCAGGCGGTCATGAACCCTACTAATATCATGCGCGATGTAAAATTCTAATTGGGGGGCAATTCACCTATAAATCCTTCAAGGGATCATGTAGCGCAGGCCATTCAAGTTGATAAATTTGAGAGAGAAGCCAGAGATTGAAATTAATTACCGCTGCATGCTGAAGCATGTTGCTGCGTAGAATATCTTGTCTGTGGCATTGTTGAGGGTAAAGGAGACAGCAGAAGCATATTTGGGCAAGAAGGTGGAAAATCCAGTGATCATATTACCAGATTATTTCCATAATAGCCAACGTCACACCATGATTGGTGTTGACAAAATAGAGGGCCTACAATGGAATGGGCAAAGTCAACGAAGTAGGAACTGTTGATGGTGGCATGCGCATGGGTGGTGAGGACCTAAATTCTCGAATTTTAAACTCTGTACCGAGATGTTCTTGCAAAGACACAAGGAAAAATTTAACAATTAAACTAAAAACCATCAATCGCTCAGGAAAGGAATGTGCGAACGCAAAGAGGAGTTGAAGTTGAATAAGTGCAATAACAAAGGTGTAAAATCGTTGTTTGAATACATTAATTTCCCTACATCCATCACACTGGATTGATATGAGCAGTCACACTCAGACCTCTTTACCAGGACGCCGGATGCCGTGGATGAGCCTCAAAGGCTGGGCAGGGCTGATGCAGTAGTGCGACGCGTATACCGAAGGTGCAGCAGTTGTTACAGGACTTCCTTAGTGCCAGCAAGTTAAATAAGTCCACTCTGACTAGTGAAAAGTCGTTGATGTTGGCTGAAGTTGCCATACTCCTACTGAATTTGGGAACAGCATGTGCTGTAATAACGACAACAATACACGCTGCAATATCAACAATAAACCATCAAATTCAAAACACCTAATTAGTGGCCCTCTGCTATACTTCTCATGATCGAGTCAGCCTTTTTAAACCTTTCCTGCCTGCCTTAGGATGCTATTCTTAATCCTGTTCTTTTCTGCCCATCAAGGTACTGAAGCCGATATAGGTCTTTTGCCATCACACGAAGCCAACGATGACAATTTCAACACTTTCCCTGAGGCTATGACTATGTCCGTTCAAAATGAAAACAGAAAAGTTATACCCTGTTGAGGTAGACACAATTAGCTAAAATGATAAGCAAACAATGGGCGAATATTTGTGGTTTTTAAGCTAAAATTTCGTTGATGCCTCAAAGTTTAAAGAGGAGGCTCATTTCATTAGAAGCGAACACAACAGTCTAATAGTTAAGTTAATCCTCATCAGACTTAATAGGCTAAACGGCATGGTTAACACTACCTACCCAAGCACATATCTGTTTATTTATCCATTCACCACTTCCCGACCTGTCAGGCATGAAGCTCAGATAAGTTTACTCAAATAGAGAAGCCTTCAAATGCTTCGATTGCTTTGTCAGTTTTGGCAGTCCTTGAGATAAGTGGCAAGACATTATCCATCTTTATGTCTAGAGCTGTTGCAATATCTCTGATAATGTTATTCGTGAGGGTAGAAGTTGGCGGACCCATGTTAAGGAGGATAAGTAGCCCTGTCTTTCGTGGAGCCAGTGTTAGGCATTATGATACAAGCCAAATTTGGACAGACCATGAAGAAGTACGTCTACGATAAGCATGCATGTTATGTTTTCTAAAAGCCTAAAATTTCATGGCCACTAGCAGTGCTCTTAATTTAATTTCTTTCTAGTTGACATCACCTGTGGGTGTACTTCAATTGCTGTAAGGAGGTGAGAGGGAGATCAATCCATGTCTGTAGCACGGCTAACTTTACCATCGAGAAATGACAAATCGCATACAAAGAGCTCAGTCCTGCTCAAAATCACTGCATGTTAAGCTTCTTGCAACCATTGGTGAGTGTGCTCCTCTTGGCTATAAATGTTCATTGGTAATATGGTAATTTTGTCGTCTTCTAATGCATCTCTTTTAAGTCTGAGATATTCAATTCAATTCAAATTCATGAAAGTCCTATAAGAAGGAGAGTAAAGGAGAACTTGTCACCTCGACTAAGAGAGCGAGAGCCACTCATGAGGAGGAACTGGTGCATTAGACATACATCCTCCCGTTTTTGATAGATCACTTTTATTCGTCACTGGTATGATGCAGCCATTTGAGCTTAGTAGGAATGGTTAGGATGATGGCTAAGAGTGGTAAACTTTTTCGGTTTGACTGCAGAGGTAAGTGGGTATAAATTGCGAGGCTGTTATCCATCATCAGGTGCTTGGAACACTGTAAAATACGCTTAAATTTGGGCTCTTAAAGGAGGACCTATCGCTTTGACGGATGATGTGCACGTGGATAAATTCATGAAGGTATACTTTTTCCACAGAAACTCAATCTATTTGGAATGAATGTCATACCTTATGAGATCAACCAACTGATTATATCAAGAGCATGCACGAGTGTGTACACCCGTATGCGTTCAATACGCTAACCAACTCTGAAACGATGCAATAAAGTGACTCTTCTTAATTAACTGCTTTATTCCAGGGAGAACCATGGTCATGTGGACGACCATAGTACATAGAGTGATCAATTCTAGCTCAGTACATGGAGCCGTGCGATTGGTAGGATTTTACTCAGCATGAGCCATGAGCATCGGGCTGCTCAGTTACAGGCGTATTCACAGCAGAGCCTGGATTGTGCGTCAATCCTTTCGTGTGTGCAATGGCTAGCAACCGTTAAAAGCATAAAACAGTGTCATCTTCTGGTCGGAGAGAGCCTTCTAGCATTTAATGCACATGATGAAAATATCCTGGGTCAAATGCTTTATTTAATATACAGGGTTGTCTGATCATTAAGGCCATCACTATAGGTTACACACGTACGCACTTGTGTATTCCACGAAGACATGACAACAGGTCCAGCTATTAATATTGATCTAGGGTTACCGCAGAACTGCTTTATGTGGCCTCCATGGATAAAGTCGCATCATCATTGATGCCTCAGGGAACCAGGCGGTCATGAACCCTACTAATATCATGCGCGATGTAAAATTCTAATTGGGGGGCAATTCACCTATAAATCCTTCAAGGGATCATGTAGCGCAGGCCATTCAAGTTGATAAATTTGAGAGAGAAGCCAGAGATTGAAATTAATTACCGCTGCATGCTGAAGCATGTTGCTGCGTAGAATATCTTGTCTGTGGCATTGTTGAGGGTAAAGGAGACAGCAGAAGCATATTTGGGCAAGAAGGTGGAAAATCCAGTGATCATATTACCAGATTATTTCCATAATAGCCAACGTCACACCATGATTGGTGTTGACAAAATAGAGGGCCTACAATGGAATGGGCAAAGTCAACGAAGTAGGAACTGTTGATGGTGGCATGCGCATGGGTGGTGAGGACCTAAATTCTCGAATTTTAAACTCTGTACCGAGATGTTCTTGCAAAGACACAAGGAAAAATTTAACAATTAAACTAAAAACCATCAATCGCTCAGGAAAGGAATGTGCGAACGCAAAGAGGAGTTGAAGTTGAATAAGTGCAATAACAAAGGTGTAAAATCGTTGTTTGAATACATTAATTTCCCTACATCCATCACACTGGATTGATATGAGCAGTCACACTCAGACCTCTTTACCAGGACGCCGGATGCCGTGGATGAGCCTCAAAGGCTGGGCAGGGCTGATGCAGTAGTGCGACGCGTATACCGAAGGTGCAGCAGTTGTTACAGGACTTCCTTAGTGCCAGCAAGTTAAATAAGTCCACTCTGACTAGTGAAAAGTCGTTGATGTTGGCTGAAGTTGCCATACTCCTACTGAATTTGGGAACAGCATGTGCTGTAATAACGACAACAATACACGCTGCAATATCAACAATAAACCATCAAATTCAAAACACCTAATTAGTGGCCCTCTGCTATACTTCTCATGATCGAGTCAGCCTTTTTAAACCTTTCCTGCCTGCCTTAGGATGCTATTCTTAATCCTGTTCTTTTCTGCCCATCAAGGTACTGAAGCCGATATAGGTCTTTTGCCATCACACGAAGCCAACGATGACAATTTCAACACTTTCCCTGAGGCTATGACTATGTCCGTTCAAAATGAAAACAGAAAAGTTATACCCTGTTGAGGTAGACACAATTAGCTAAAATGATAAGCAAACAATGGGCGAATATTTGTGGTTTTTAAGCTAAAATTTCGTTGATGCCTCAAAGTTTAAAGAGGAGGCTCATTTCATTAGAAGCGAACACAACAGTCTAATAGTTAAGTTAATCCTCATCAGACTTAATAGGCTAAACGGCATGGTTAACACTACCTACCCAAGCACATATCTGTTTATTTATCCATTCACCACTTCCCGACCTGTCAGGCATGAAGCTCAGATAAGTTTACTCAAATAGAGAAGCCTTCAAATGCTTCGATTGCTTTGTCAGTTTTGGCAGTCCTTGAGATAAGTGGCAAGACATTATCCATCTTTATGTCTAGAGCTGTTGCAATATCTCTGATAATGTTATTCGTGAGGGTAGAAGTTGGCGGACCCATGTTAAGGAGGATAAGTAGCCCTGTCTTTCGTGGAGCCAGTGTTAGGCATTATGATACAAGCCAAATTTGGACAGACCATGAAGAAGTACGTCTACGATAAGCATGCATGTTATGTTTTCTAAAAGCCTAAAATTTCATGGCCACTAGCAGTGCTCTTAATTTAATTTCTTTCTAGTTGACATCACCTGTGGGTGTACTTCAATTGCTGTAAGGAGGTGAGAGGGAGATCAATCCATGTCTGTAGCACGGCTAACTTTACCACTAACTACTAGAGTTGCATACGCTATATGTTCCCTTTTCGTCCATGGCAACATGCATCGAATAGTCAGTCAGGAGTAGAAACAGCAATGACCAATATCTCATGCATCGACTGATCCCTACTCCTGGACCC